CAGCGCAGTCAGCGCTGGCCGGGGCCTGCTGGGGATGGGGGCTCCCCGCGCTCTCCCCACGGGCTCTTCGCGGACACCGGGAAATTGCCAGCGCTGAGCCAGGCACCACAGATGGCGACGCGCAAGGCGGCGCAGCGGGAGAGAGAAGCGGCCCCCGTGGGAGCGGCCCCGCACCGCGAGCTCAGATCCAGGACGCCCCTGTACCCCGCGCCCGGCAAGGAAACCCGCGGCCTGAGGCGCCTGCCCTGGAAGCCAGGTGGGCAGGGGCGACGGCGCCTGCAGTCGGGACAGGTCCCCTAAAGGTAACCTGAGGGGGAAGGGGCCAGGGCCAGGAGCTGCGCAGGGCACGAAACAGGCGGGGACTTGGCCTAGAACGAGGCCTCTGGCCGAGGCAGGTGCCGGCCCGCGGCTGTCGCCCCGCGCGGCGCCACCAGGGGGAGCGCTGGCACGCCGGTGGGCGCAGCTTCCCGAGCAGCGGACCGCGGGGGCGCTGGGGACGCGGCGTGAGGGCCCGCACACCCGCACACATCACCCCCCGCCCCCTACATACACCCCCGCAAATCACAGCCGCACACCTCGTACACGGCCCCCACAGCCCTAACCCTCCAAACACCGCCCACACCCATCCTAGGAAACCGGGTCCACCCAGGGTCACTGAGTAGAATTTTGCTAAGGGCAAGACCCACGAGCCCGCTGCTGGGCTCTCGGAGCGGCGCTGTCTGCACAGCCGCCCCTGGCACGGCCCAGTGTGCGCTGGGGGAGCAGCGGCCCCCCCCTTCTGCTCCAGAGCTCAGTGCCCCCCCACTTCTGCTCCAGAGCTCCTGCGGCTTCTGCCTGGCTCTTGGTGGGGACGGACCTCGGCCAGGCCCTGCGCAGCCCGGAGCCTCAGCTGAGAGATGGCCGGTGGGCAGGTTCTGGCCTGCAGGACACGGGCAGAGAGCCTGAGGGCACCCGTGTCACCGGCGCCCGAGATGGTGCGGTCAGTGCTGTGCCAGGGCCTGCCATGGGGACACGCCCGCACGGCCCTGGCCCCTGAGCTGGCGAGCGCCAGCCTCTGCGGGGTCCAGGATGCCACAACGCCTGCTCCCTTGCTCCCCCCCACCACAGCTCTGCCTTGAGGTCAGTGTCCCCTGCCAGTGCTGTCCTCCCTGAGGCCCGCCTGGGGGCTCAGAGCAGCTTCCCTGCAGCACCGCCGACGCCTGGTCTCTTTCAGGTGTTCCTGGCCTGGCTCTTGCCCACTGCCTTCCCGACCTGACCGCGAGCTCAAAATGGGGGCAGCTGGCTCCGCCCTCATCTGCGGGAGACTGGGGGTTTGGCCACGGGCCACGTGGGCTACACTGCCCACTGCCGAGGGGGAGAGAACCCGCAGGCTGCTGGACAAGCACAAGTAAGAGTCGCAACCCTGTCGGGAGGGCCGGGCAGTTTATTCAGGCCAAGGCCGCCTGGCCTGTGTGGACGGGGTGTTAGACCTGTTTCTCTAGCCCCTCAGCCGCCTGCCCCTGGGGGGCTCTCCAAGCCACCGCCCCCCACACGGCCATATGCTCTCTCGCAGCTCCTGGGCCTCTGTAGCCTCCCCTGTCCGGGTCTCATCGGTTCTCTCGGGACTCAGTGTCCTTAGCCCTCCTGGACTCCTGGCCGCACCCCGGGGTACACTGTGAGCCCTCTTAGGGTGTGGCATCCCAGCTTCTCCTGCGCCCTCGGAGGCCGCGCCCACATGACCCCCACGCCGCCCCTGCGCCCCCGGGCTGGGACTCAGCTCGCGGAGCTGCTCCAGGCGCGTGGTCAGCCGCCCACAGCGCC